CCTCGGGCCCCGACCACGCGTGTGGAACTGGAAGGAGTCACTAAAGATATGACTAGTTTTCTAGCAGCCGGATGTTCAGTAGTTCGAAGCAGAAGGAAAACAAAACCATCCTGGTGGACAAAGCAATTATCCTCCTTACGTGAGCTTAATGGAAACTGTTAAATAGGGCTAAAGTCACGAGAACGCCTGAAGGTTGGAAAGCAAATGAGGCTGAAACGTGAATCCTGGCAAAATTATTGTAAGAGAATAGAGGAAACACAGGAAGCGGCCAGATTAAGAAGAATTCTTTCAAAGTCGCCAAGTAACCTTGCCTATTTCAGGAGTCAAGTTAACACATGGACCACGACGATATGGGTGTCATTAGGTCTCCTCCTAGATAATTCCTTCCCCTGGCAACAAGCCGACGGAGCATAACGACTCCGCTAATAATAGTCGGCAATATGATATAGGTAATAAAATGCTTGAAATAGTCCATATATATCACTCGGACTTGATGGTTATCTCCCCGTTCATAGCAGTCATTATAAGAAGCTGTCTTAACATGGGCTCTATACCGCTAGGCTGGATGNAGGTAATAAAATGCTTGAAATAGTCCATATATATCACTCGGACTTGATGGCATTATCTCCCCGTTCATAGCAGTCATTATAAGAAGCTGTCTTAACATGGGCTCTATACCGCTAGGCTGGATAGAGACATACTCATACTCAAGGAAGGTAGGTCCTTCCACATTTATTCTAAATATTCAGACCCACTAGTCTCCTCAAAATTTTAGACAGGATAGTGGATGAATACTTACGTAGCGTGATACCAACTAGTAGGCTCTCCCCATCCCAGCATACCTACACGAAAGGCAAATCTACAGAAATAGCTTTACACTCACTTGTCGGGTTGGTCAAAAAGAGCTCATCGGATAAGGAGTCGGTATGGTTGCTTGGTAGGCATAGAAGGCGCCTGCTACTACATCAATGCAAGCGCCATATGGATGCCTTTAAAGATTGACTCTAACGTGGATGATCTGAACGAAACTTTACTCCTCAGATGGAAGTTAACGGCTAGGTTAGCCAACACTACACTTAGCAGACAGGTCCGCAGAAGCACTCATCAGGGAGGCGTTCTCTCCCCTCTTCTCTGGATTTTGGCAGGGAACTCCTTGCTGCTGACCGTAGAGAGGGTGCCACGTCACTGCTTAAGCTGACCACCTGACAATTTCCGTTAAAGGCAAATACCCAAATACCCTAATGAACATTCGAGCTCTAATATGGCCTGGCTTAGAAATTGGACAGAGAGCAGGTAGTGGTGCTCGTACCCATTATTTAAGACTGCGACTTTAAGCTACGCTAAGGGTAATTCCCAGTTAAAGTCTACTAAAATTAAAAGTGCGAAACTATACATAAATTAAATCGGATAAATCATATCTGTAACAATATAAGGCAACGCAAAAAGGTTGATCGTGTGCAACCAAAAGTGTAGTGCGCACCATCAAGGCGCACGCGACAAATCCGAGGAGAATCTCGGCCAAAAACTAACGTATTGTTTAAACGCCAATCTATTATTAATAATTTTTAATAATTTATTATTATTGTACGTAGAGATTGAGCTGTTGACTGAAAACACCGAGGCCGCGGGTTAAAATCGCGCCACATGCAATCTTAACTATATACATATAGTAAAAATTTCTGCTCTTTATAGCCCAATTTATATCAGGATGAATTGCTAATCACATTACTCTATCAATTATCGAGTAAAAAATATCGGTATGGAATACCAAAAGTATCGATATGGTATCGTATCGTATCAAAATTCGTGTCCCTAAGTATTATTTTTTGGTTTATGAAATAACGCCCGTGGGCGTGGACGACGCACGGGTTGATTTAACTGACTGAAAATTTCACAAACTACAAAATATGATTGGAAGACTTTTTAAAAATGAAATGCGTAACGGGCAGAATGACATAATTAGTACGCTGGATGATATCTTGCCTATCCGCCGAAACAGAAGATGCTTCAGACGACGCTAATTGTAATAACTACACATTATTCCGAATTCAAAAAGCAATTATGTTCTTCCATTTGTTTTAATAAGCCTCGAGATCTGCTCTTAAGTCCCAGCAATAATTCTTAATTTAAATATTAGCAATTTGTGTCCAATTGTGTCCAAAACTTTTAATTATTTAATTTTCACTCATTAGGTATGTACTATATGTATGTACTAAATATATGCATTGATTTGAATGTTTTCTTTTTAATAAAGCGTAACAAATACATATTTAGTTTAATGTAATCATCATCATTGTCGGTCTCCTTGCCGTGGGGATGGGGCTTAAGTGGTAATATGTTGGCCGCTTCAGCAACGGACATATCATCACGAACTAAGAGGGAAGCTTGCATAGTGACCTGATGCCACTGTATCAATCTCGCCCGCAGGGTAAGATCACCGCACCAACGTCCCTATCCCTAATCCTACCCCATCCCATCTTCCCTCCTCTCCTCCAAAAAATCCTGACTGGGGAGTCATTAACCACAAGCCCCGACGAGTACTGGACTGAAAACAGGACAGTCTAGACAATTCGAGGACGTCAGGAAGGCCACAGGTTTGAGTGGAGCAGGGGCCAAGTGGTACCTTACGTTAGTAAAGGCTTAACGCCTGAGGAGGCCAAAAAGAAAGTCCTGGACCGGGAGAAGACCAGTGACCGCGCACGGGAGGCTGGGGAAATTAAAAGGTAATCCGGAGAACAAGAAAGTCCTGGACCGGGAGAAGACCAGTGACCGCGCACGGGAGGCTGGGGAAATTAAAAGGTAATCCGGAGAACAAGAAAGTCCTGGACGGGGAAAAGCCCAGTGACAGCAAACGGGGTGCTGCGGAGATTAGTCCTCCGGAAGGGAAGCCAGAGAAGATGAGGAGGCGTCTCGAAGCAGTGGCTCCAAAACCCAAGCCTGGAAGCCTGGTGGTAGCTATGCTAGCGCCACTAAGCGTATTAGACTGGCTGTTCTGCCGAAGGCTTTCCCGGAAAGTACATTCACTCGTGAGGATCAGGGAAAGATTGAGGACGCCATTGTAGAGGAGATGGGTAAGTGTTGGAGGTCAATACTCCAATTCGACGGCATCACTTTTGGCCAGGCCTTATACTGGTCGACTGATTGGATGAAGAATCAGCCGAATGGCTGCTCTTAATTGTTCCAAAACTGCCTGGTTGGGGGGTGCGGAACTGACTACATATCCAAGGTGCACGTAATCACTACGTACCTACCAAAAGCTGCAGAAGTGGACACGCAGAAACTACTGAACCTAATTATAGCCCAAAATGAGGGTATGCATACCGACCTATGGAAGGTATACAGAAGCAATGACGAGAAGACGGGTAAACTTTTGACGATCGGGATAGTAGACCGGTCGTTGGAGGCTTTCAAGAAGAAAGACTGTATCCTACGATACAAGGTTTGGTAGTGTTCCAGTGCATCTGCTCAAGGGCAGGAAACCGAAGGCGAAGGTAACCAAGCAAATAGTCCACCGGGTGTTCCTGAAATACCGGGGGAGGTGGCTGAGATGGTTGCTGTGGAAGCAGCCAGAAGCGTGGTAATAGAGGAAGTTAGTCTTTTACCTCATGAGACGGAGGGTATAGACGATTTCGACCTCGGCCTACTAAATATCTGTGCAGATGATGGCTCGGAGAGGGCCACCTAGTCAGAACTTGACGAAACTCTGACAACGGATGAAGAAGAAGAACGCCATTAGCTACGACGATGACCACCACTAAGGTTGCACAAGTAAACCTACACCATGCGAGGGCTGCGTCTGCATGATATAACCATAGGAAATACTCAAACGAAAGCGCTGGTGAAAGAGTGGAGAGTATCCAATGCGCCTTCCATGTCAAATCATAGAATAATTAGATTTGACATTGAAGCAACCCCTCCTATACATAGAGTTTTAAGGAATTCCAGGAAGACAGATTGGGAGAAGTTCAAAGACAACCTGAGGCCGAACGTAGCCCAACCTGGGCTGGGTAAGAAGATCAGGAACGAAACAGAACTAGAATTTGCTACAGAGCGCTTTAATGAATTACTCATTGACGCATATGAAGACAGTTGTCCTATAAGTGAGGTATATTCCTCCAGGGATGTACGCTGGTGGAACAACAGACTAAGTAAACTCAGAACCAAAGTTCGGAAATTGTTCAATCGAGCAAAACGAACCGGGGAGTAGTCAGAATACAGAAACACCTTAACTCTGTACAACAAAGAAATAAGGGAGCCTGAGCATTTAAGCTTTAGGAATTTCTGTGAAAGCTTAAAAGAAGGTAATGGCAAAAAACGAATTATATTTCGTCCGCAAGTCTAAGTTTCACTGGGAGCGAGGAAGAGAAGATCCAACTTCTCATAGATACTCACTTTCCAGGATCTACATCATAATCCGAGACAGATCTGAACTACTACTGAACATAGTAGTAAAATAAGCAGAGAAAACTGGTTAGTGGCTAAGGAAATATGCTCTGAGCCCCGACTAAGGTGGGCGGTGAACACCTTTAAACCGCTAAAGTCACCGGGAGCGGATGAAATATTCCCTGGAATGCTACAGTAGGACTTAGAATGCGTTATTGGACCGCTATTANGACAGTTGTCCTATAAGTGAGGTATATTCCTCCAGGGATGTACGCTGGTGGAACAACAGACTAAGTAAACTCAGAACCAAAGTTCGGAAATTGTTCAATCGAGCAAAACGAACCGGGGAGTAGTCAGAATACAGAAACACCTTAACTCTGTACAACAAAGAAATAAGGGAGCCTGAGCGTTTAAGCTTTAGGAATTTCTGTGAAAGCNGTTCGGAAATTGTTCAATCGAGCAAAACGAACCGGGGAGTAGTCAGAATACAGAAACACCTTAACTCTGTACAACAAAGAAATAAGGGAGCCTGAGCATTTAAGCTTTAGGAATTTCTGTGAAAGCTTAAAAGAAGGTAATGGCAAAAAACGAATTATATNGAGCCTGAGCGTTTAAGCTTTAGGAATTTCTGTGAAAGCTTCGTCCGCAAGTCTAAGTTTCACTGGGAGCGAGGAAGAGAAGATCCAACTTCTCATAGATACTCACTTTCCAGGATCTACATCATAATCCGAGACAGATCTGAACTACTACTGAACATAGTAGTAAAATAAGCAGAGAAAACTGGTTAGTGGCTAAGGAAATATGCTCTGAGCCCCGACTAAGGTGGGCGGTGAACACCTTTAAACCGCTAAAGTCACCGGGAGCGGATGAAATATTCCCTGGAATGCTACAGTAGGACTTAGAATGCGTTATTGGACCGCTATTAACAATAGTTAGAAGCAGCATAGCATTGGGTTATATACCAGAGCGAAGGTAGTTTTCATCCCGAAGGTTGGAAAGAAGGACCCACTTCATCCAAAATCCTTCAGGCCGATCTGCCTCACCTCATTTGTACTAAAAGCTTTAGAAAAGGTAGTAGATAACTATGTACGGACTACGGTCTTAGTGAACTATCCGCTGAATTCCCGCAGCATGCATATATGGCGGGTCGTTCTACTGAAACCGCCCTATAAGCGCTGACAAGTGGACTTCAAGCTAGCTTAGATAATAAGGAGACGGCTATATGCGCCTTTCTGGACATTGAGGGAGCGTTTGACAAGACCTCACATGCTGCAACAAACAGTGCTTTGATCAGGAGGGGGGTAAACAATAACCTCGTAGCCTGGATTAATTGCATGCTCCGCACCAGAAGGGTAGAAATACAAACCTGTACGAATAATACGGTTGTTGCCGGAACAACAAGGGGCTGTCCACAGGGTGGAGTGCTATCTCCACTGCTTTGGAACATAGTCGTCGACGGACAGCTCCATGAGCTGACTGATACTGGGTAAACTTGCCAGGGGTACGCCGATGACATTGTAATTATATGTAGGGGGAAATTCGAAAACACCCTGTGTGATAGAATCCAGCTAGGGCTAAATGTAACCAAAAAATTGTGTACTAAAGTGGGGCTGAATATTAACCCATCAAAAACCACTATAGTACCATTCTCAAGGAAATATAAACTGGAGAGCCTAAAAACTATAAGGCTAGATGGAACCAACATTATGTATCGAAAAGAGGTTAAATTCCTGGGAGTGATACTAGACCAAAAACTACTCTGGAAAGCACACGTGGAAGAAACCACGAAGAAAGCTGTAAGAGCATTTATGACGTGTAGGTCCATGGAAGGAAAGAGTTGGGGATGCACACCAAGGATACTGAGATGGATCTACACCACTATAATATGACCCATGATAGCTTATGGAGCTATCATCTGGGCCGATAGAACTTCATAACTTGGAACAATGCAAGTGCTCTCCAAGTTACAAAGGCTGGCATGCGTATGAATAACCGTAGCCAAGAGAACCTGTCCAACCGCATCCTTGGACGTTCTTCTAGATCTTACCCCTCTTCATATTCACATACAGACTCAGGCGAAGAGAGCTTTACTACGGATTATTGGTACCAATATCGGGGCAGAAGGGTGTATTCACCGTGGGAAGTTAGATATTCTTACGAAGAAGTTCCCTGAAATTGCAATACCGAGGGATACCATGCATCCGAGGTACAGCTTTACTAAGAGGTTTAAAACTGATCTGAGTAATAAGAAGAGCTGGACTGGCATATCCGAGACGTATCGGATAAACCAAAACATGATTACCTGGTACACTGATGGCTCATTGACTGACGAGGGTACCGGGGTAGGGGTAGTTGGACCGAGGTTAAGATACTCGGAACCCATGGGAAAACATATGTCTATTTTCCAGGCTTAAACATACGCCATAGAAAGATGCGTGGACTTTAATATCAAGCGAAAGAACCGGAATCAGAACATTNACTGACGAGGGTACCGGGGTAGGGGTAGTTGGACCGAGGTTAAGATACTCGGAACCCATGGGAAAACATATGTCTATTTTCCAGGCTTAAACATACGCCATAGAAAGATGCGTGGACTTTAATATCAAGCGAAAGTACCGGAATCAGAACATTGCAATCTTGACTGACAGCCAAGCGGCTATCAAGGCCCTCAGATCTCACCAGGTTACATCTAAACTGGTGATGGAGTGTCTCGAAAAGCTGAATACTCTTGGTCTGACCAATCAGGACCCTTACTCTGTAGTTCGAGTCGAAATGTTATTCTATTCGAAAGCCAAATTCGAATCGAAGCCCCATTCGTACTCCATAGTTCGTTCGAATCAACTTTCGAAGATATTCGAAAAAAGAGAGCAACACTGTTCGCCAAATGTCAAACGCAAAGCAAAATAAAGATGAAACTAAAATCAAAACAAGATGAAATTGCCAACATTTCGATTGTGAAGTTTGTGCACTTAAGAACTCAGTAACTGCTGTGTTAAATATATTTAATACTAGCTTATACCCGCGGGTTTCACCCCGCGTCTTTATACAAATATGAAAAAAATTATAGATGTTAGATTTTATTTCTGTACCCATTTCGTTATAGCTCGTTATTTTTTAAGCGAGTTAAGGTTAAAACTATGAAATTATAAAATACGAAAGATATCAATCCCTCTAAGTTTACCTTAAAATGGTTCCAGGTATACGACGCGTGAACGTGTTTCTTGGAGGTGCCACGGCGGGTTCTAATATTTCCAACTCAAATTTAGTAACCTGGCCTTGATAAAATACCACTGCTCATTACCGTAGCAAATGCCTCAAGAGAGCTTTAGATTATAANAAAAAAAAGAAATATAGCCCGAGAGCGTTATTTATTGATTACATTCGGTTATCCTAAATAAAATTTGGCGCTTAATATTTTAGTGAAAATTTTGGTCAAAAAGGCAAACACAGTTTCAAACGTTTGAGAAAAATGGATTTCTCAATTTGATGTCAAATGTTTTTCTCAAATGATTTTCAAAGAGATTTACATTCTACATTTGAAATTCATTTGAGATTGTTTATCTCTTAAATTTATGTGATGTGTAAAACGATATAAAAGTGCGCAATTAAATCAAAAATTGTGTACAGACTCGTAGCTGTATCTAATATCCCTTACCTCGGGTGGGGGTGATACAAGACAGCCAACAAGTTTGTTCTGTACAAATGAGAATTTATTTTAATTCTGACAAGGTTTAAGTTTTACAGCTCCTTATATATTAAATCTTAGGACTAAAATGAAGATTGTATATGTGTATATATTTACATGTATGTGTGGTTATTTATTTAGGTGTGCATATCGATATTGCTGCATTTGTACTTAACACCCTGCAAAAAATGGGACTAATCCGGGATGACTCCGGGAGCAATCGCAAAGGAGCATGCGACTAATACCACTTTTGATCTCTTTATCTGGAATGAACTGATCGCTTTTGTTCGGGCATGTCCTATGAAGAGACTAATTGTTCACATTTATACCCGAAAGGGTATAAAAAGCGACTAGTCACTTTTAAAACATAAAAATAAAAATAAAATTTTCGCCTGCCCGGTTCGAATAACCGGGGTGCTCAGTTTTGTTAGGCGAATACTCCCTCTGTGTGCTAACGCAGTTTCATTGACTAAGAGCGTACATATCATTAAATCGTTAATAGTACCCGTTAGAGATGTGTTGGGGACCAATTGATCTCCAATTATACCCACAAGGGATGAGTCGAGACTAATTGACCTCCATTAGTACCCGTATGAGACTAGTTGGGACTAATTAATGCCCAATTGTACCCGATTGAGAGTAATCTCGGATTACTCTCTTTAGAGATTGAATTTTTTGCGGGGCATGTTCTTGTCAAGTGTGTATGTTTTCATATTTGCAGGAAGGTTCAAAGATTTGTTTACCCAAAAATACATTTTAATTGTGTAGCCTATTAAACAAACCTTGCTCCTNGTATGAGACTAGTTGGGACTAATTAATGCCCAATTGTACCCGATTGAGAGTAATCTCGGATTACTCTCTTTAGAGATTAGTCGCAGAATTTTTTGCGGGGCATGTTCTTGTCAAGTGTGTATGTTTTCATATTTGCAGGAAGGTTCAAAGCTTTGTTTACCCAAAAATACATTTTAATTGTGTAGCCTATTAAACAAACCTTGCTCCTTTTTAATGGCTTTACTATTTCTTATCTGCATTGTTGCACTTACATACATACATATATGTGTACCTTTTATGCTGAGATAAGGAATGCAGCTCATGTCTTTTCATGTTTGCTGTTTAGCAGTGTTTGCATTATTCAACTTTGCGTTCAACAATTGCGTTCAACTCAACGCAGGGTTGCGCGAAAAAAAAGTTGAATTGCTAAATGTTGGCTGGCGACCAACTTTGTTGAAAGCGATTAGTTGAAAGGCCATTCAACCAAAAGTTGAATGCAAAGTTGAACAATGCAAACACCTTTTTATGGCGAATATTTTGATTTTTTTTCATATTTTGATATTTTTAGCCATTCAACTTTTTTTTCGTGCAACCCTGCGCTGAGTTGAACGCAAATGTTGTTATCTGCTACAATATTTATTTTGGTACGTTCATATGTATGTGCACATGAATGGACTGTGTTTACATGTGTATTTGTATTTATATCAGCATGTTCAAATATATTTTGAACCATATTGCTGAGAGGAAAATTACCGCTTAGGTCTATGTTTTTTATAAGCTTTTATTTAACTTGGTCGTCCCGCGCAAATCGCGGAAATTTCCAATCGATTTTAAACTGACTTCCCGACAAGTTAAAGACTTGAAATGTTCAGCATAGTTCCAATCACGATGACAATGAAATTTAATATACAAATGAATTCCCCATATGGTCCAGGGGTCTTGATTCAAAGGCGGTAAAAAAATAGTAAGATTTGTGGCTAACAGAGCGTAATTTGCCAAAGAACGTAAAACCACTATAAAATTGTTAAACATGCCGGCAATAGTGTAGCAAAGCTATTTGTGGCAAATTCTAAATATCAACCTAGTCTAGATATGAACCTCGTTCTAGGAATTAGAAGACTCCAGATGTCGCCCCGCCGGAAGCAGTTATATATTGCGCCTAAATATCTGCCATGCTACACCGGATATGGACGACACGCCATTTCTTTAAATAAAATTAACTGCTGTTATATGTACATATGTATGTTTATAAAAAACGTAAGCAAACATTTTGCATGCCAAGTCTTCTGTTCTCTTTCATTTCGAGTTGAATTATTTTAATATCTATTGAAAAATTTTTTAAATAAAATGAAATAACACTTTTTAATATACAACGCTTTTATAAATGGACTAAAAATTATAAAATAAAAGAATGTAAAAAAAATATCTTTTAAAAACAAGCTTTTATTTAACCTGTACAATCAAAGGAATAAAATGAAGTAGTGTAACAAAAGATTTTTTAGCAAGAAAATTTTATCAAAACTGCACTAAAATGAATAAAATGAAATAAGTTAAGGTCTCGTTAAAGTTACTAAAAGCCAATTAGTGAAAGGAGTTATTCAAACTCTAATGAAAATTACTAACAATTTGTACTAATTTACTTCGTTTTTAAAAAAGCTTGTCGCGCGAATAGCAAACCGGCATTTAAATATCTGCATACATACATACCTAACCAATTATGCATGTACGCTGAATTCGCCGACAAGCCTTTTTAAAAACGAGGTAAATTAGTACAAATTGTTAGTAATTTTCATTAGAGTTTGAATAACTACTTTCACTAAATGGCTTTCAGTAACTTTAACGAGACCTTAACTTATGTTATTATATTAATTTTAGTGCAGTTTTGACAAAATTTTCTTGTTAAAAAATCTTTTGTTACACTACTTCATTTTATTCCTTTGATTGTACAGGTTAAATAAAAGCTTGTTTTTAAAAAATATTTTTTTTTACATTATTTTCTTCTTCGATTGAAATGGATATGTGTGGACTGTACGTATTTTGCCATTTTACTGTTCAGGCCGGTATGTGTACATGTTTTTATATCTTTATGTTTATCCATGAACATTTTGCAGGCGTGGAAGACTTATAGCAATTTTATCTTTTGATTTACATTTATAGCGAATATAGGTTACCAGCAAGCCTATAATTACAATTACTAATAATACTAAAGAAATGTGGGCTCTGTGATTTCATATATTTAAATTACTTCATTTTAGTTCGTTGTTGTTGATGCTTTCAATGTCTTCTCGAAATCGGTTAAATTCATTGTTGTTGTAATTGCTGCTATTTGATGAGGAATTATTTGGTCTTCTGCAATCGCTGTGTTTTCTTCCTTTTCCGCCAAACCTCCGGGAACTCACCTTGCTTTTTTGGACGTTTATGATGGTATTTCTTCCTATTGTCAGCTGTAGGTAAGGGGAAACGCGGACGCAATATTTTTATTGGGTGACCAGCGCCACACCATCGCCATCTACTATTCCAGTAGTGCTTTCTGCTGCATTCGGCTGCCAAATATTGCGTTAATTTTGACTGCTGTGCCATAAATTCTAATTTGTGTGGTTTGCCGTTTCTGTTTCTGCGGGACTTGACTCTTCAAAACTCGCACAAGCATGCGCGTATAATTTCTCCAAATGGTTGGTCTCATTGTTGTTATCTGGATGCAGCAATTGAGTTATGATACGATTTAAAACGCAGTTTGTCAACGACGTAGCGTAAACGTAGGTTGACGTACGTAGCAGCTTATCAAATTTACTGTTGACAGAGAGAGAGAGAAGCAACGGCAACGTCACCGCCATGCGGTGGTGAGTTTTCGTTAACACGCCAATCCCATAAGGTAGATCGTGTCTGCGTCAACCTACGTCTACGTTACGTCGTTGACTGTTTGAGCTTTTACCTTTTGTATAACAGTAAATGTGTCCGAATCGTTAGTAGCAGCAGTATCGCCAGCAACTTTAGCAGTTCTCGTGGAGTCTGATTGACTTCTTGAAATTTCTGCACTTGGAATTGGCTTCACTGAACATTATTGCGCAACTTCAGCTGTTACGTCTTCGTTCACGGGTTTTTATTTTTGGTTTTCTGCACTAGCTTGTTCTTCTACCGACGTTTTTTCGACAGCGCGTTTCTTGGCCATCCCTATTTTGTCCCACATTTTGCCAAAATGTGGGCCTGCCGGGGGACAAACAATTTCTTGTGTGCTATCTTTGCACGTTTTCACTGAACATTCTTCCGCAACTTCAGCTGTTACGTCTTCGTCTTTTAGGAAGAATACTCTAAGAAGTGGATCATCATCAGCAGCTTCAATCTCTGATTCGTCTTCTTTCCAGCTGCGCAGGCAATTATCCATTTCCTACATTAGCTTTTCGTGTGCGTACTGCCGCTCCTCCTCAGTTTTTAATGTTTGAAAGTGTTGCTCTAAGAAACTTAGAATATCAGACAACTTCTGAACTACTCTGGGTTTTCGTACTGTTTGCTCATATAATTTGAGCCCTTCCTTGTCTAGTTTCCGAACTATAACTTGAGCAATAAATGGATCAGCATCTTCAACTTGTATTCCTAATGACTGTATTGCGTTAAAGCACTCAGTTGTAGTATCGAGTAATTGCCTTACGCTTTAAGCATTGTCACTATATATGGGCGGATGATCCATTATTCTGTCCCACTGTCTTGTGAATAAAATTCATTTATTGTCGTACCTTGTTTTAGCAAACTCCACGCTGCTTTATAATTTTCGGTTGATATTTGTAGATGTTCTCTCAACCTTGCAGCTTCGCCTTTCAAACAAAGACGAAGGCGTAGCATTTTTTCTGAGCTTGATAATTGCTCATTTTTATGAACCATATCCTGGAACACGTTGTAGAAATTAGCCCACTCTTTTATCTCGCCGTAAATGTTGGAATTTTAAGTTTTTCTAATTCCAAATTGGGGCGAGAACATGGTTTGGGCTCTTCTTTTCTAACACAATTTTCGAAATGTGCTTGATTTTCGAAATATTTAGCAACTATTTCGTTGTATGCATCTTCAACTTCGTCATTGAAGTATTTTGACATCTCGTTGGTATACAAATTTTTGATGTCGTTGTATATACTTTTCAAGTATTTAACTTGGCTATTGTTGATAACGCTCTCTGCGCTAATATCTGTATTTTTTTGTGACAGCGTTTCGATTTTCGCCATGAAAATCCTAATTTCCTTATCGACGGTGGACTCGTTGTTGTCTGTTTTAGACCCAGTCTGCTTTTCTACCGGTTGCAAAGTTATTTCGCCGGAAATATTATTCTTGAGTCCTTGGACTAGTCGTTCAATAAGACTCCTAGTTCTGCTGTAGCAATCTTATTTGAAATATTCTTCCTCGCCATATCCATCTGACATTAGTTTTTCATGGTTGTCGTCAAAGTCTTTTTGAAGCTTCTCTATTGCTTTTATTGCATCTTCGGTTTTTGACCTTGTCATTGATCGGCCTTCGATATTATCGTACGTTTGCTGTACTTTTTCAGAGATTTCCATCTGAGCTTCAATAATTTTTTTCTATTTATCTCCATGTTGATTGGATTTGAGTTCTTGCTATTCTGCAAAGGAATCGTTGGAGGTAAATTGATTTGGTCGCCTAGTTGACCTTGCAGTGCCTCGACTCAAAGTGGATGATATTCCTTTGGTTTGCAATTCTCTTTTGTTGTCGCTCGAGCTCAAATTTGACGCTCAATTGGACCTTGGGCCTATACAATTTATAGGGTTTTTGGTTTTAATGTGGGGGAAATCTTTGTCCCGGTTTTTAATATCGCCTGAGCTCTATTTTAAGGCTCAATTGACCAAATTGTATTGCCTATACAATTGATAGGGCTTTATATATTGTGCCTGTGCAATTACAGGGCTTTTTAGTAGGTACTGCGTCAAGTCTCTTGCTATGACGGCTTACATACATTTATGGACTAAACCAGAGCTGGGCAATTTTTGCTCGCGAGCAACGCCAGCGCCGCAGTTCGTATACGTATATAGAAGCAAAGCAGCGAATTTCGATTCACTCTGCTTCACAGTATATACAGTAATAAACCTTTTCGCAGTTTATCACCATTTGGTCCCCGAGGAGTACTTTTGGGTTGTGTGCAGCATTTTTGTTTTGCGCGCACGGCAACACTTACTGTGGGGAACTTCGCCTCATGATTAGAAAAAGTTCTTTTCGAGGATAAAATATGCATAATTATGTGTTATTTATGAACAAGATATAGGTTAAGTATAATATTCATCTTTAATGTATGCGGACATTCATGCTTAATGAAGAATAATATCAATAGTGAAGTACATAATTAACGCTTGTGTTTTATAAACTGGAAAACTCAAATCCTAATTATAGCACTGAATGCAGTTTTCTTAAATGTAAGTT